TACCATGACGCACGTCAGCTAGGCTGGCGGCCTGCCCATCACGGTGATTTGCCTTGCGCTCCATGCTCCTTTAACTTTTAGGGCTGATGATCTGGGCCTTCTAACTAGTGATGACCATCATTACTGGGCTGTACCCGTCATGACAGTCAAACTTGGTATTTTTCTGCCATTTTTATGTTCCTTCGAATAGAGGCGACTAATTGATTATCACCTGAAATACACACATAATACCAGCATAAAATACACTCAAATGAATTAATCTAACCTAAAATGAATGTGAATTGAGCAATTTAAATAATTAATTTTACATGTTATCAATTTCTTACTGTTTGAGCGATAGTGGCAGCGACAACTACTTTGCGCAGAGCGACATAATGAGTAACTTTAGATCAAGTCCTTATGGAAAGGTTTTAGAGTTGGGAGTCTGGAAAATCATAAAATCAAGGTTAACCCACTACTCACATAGGTTTAACACAGTAGATCCAGTGCTTGACTTCAAGAAATTAGATATGATAAATTGAGGAGCTTTTAAATCGATAGATCAAAAAGAGAATGTGAAATTATGGAAGAAGCAGGAAACATAAGTCGTTTCCCACATATGGGGCCACTGTTTCTTTATGGAATCAGAATTAGTTAGAGAATCGGTGGTTGTGATGGACAACAACATATCTAAGCTTTAAATGTAGAGGAGGAGGGGCAAACTTGTAAGGTTAACACTCTAATGCTCAAGTCATTATGTGAAGGAGAAAAGTGAACTAAATTTGAATTTGAAATCAAGTCCTTGGATTCTTCGCGTGTATCCTTTATTATATGGAGCAGTTATAACAACCCGATATATCTAGGAGTGGGAGGCAGGAAGTCGTTGGATGTATCTTGGCTCTAGATTTCTTGTACTCTTCCATAGGGTATTTCCCATGTGTCGAGAGCAATCCAAACAATTTGTTACTCCCTCCAAGTGGTCGCCCAATGGCCATTTTGGTCGGACCAGAACAATATGTTTTTTCTTTTCTTCTCTCCCATGAGCTTCCTAGAGATCGTCAAGTCTCGTTGGTAGAGTCGGCTCTTTCTAGTATTTCGAGTAACCGGCCCCCACTCTAAAGTAATAGTTTTATCCTGCAACTCATATAGGACAAGATTCATGCCAAAGATAATTTACTCAAGAAGGAGGTCGTCATTGGTTCGGAGGGTGTCCATTTCCCTTTTTATTCGAAGTTTCTAGAGTTGTCTTCTTATTTGTTTGTGACTTGTGAAGTAGTTTTTTCTGTATGGTATAGGATTTTCAGGTGATTGGAATGGTTTGTAGCCATACCCAGGTTTCTTCTTTGATCCTTTTTCATATGTTTTTTCCTAGTGGTTGTCAGTCTAGGCTTAAGGATGGCTTATGATTTGGCACGTTGTGGTCTAGTCGATCTGGAAAACTCTTAATGATATAATGTTCTTAGATTAATTAATGTCGATGAAGGATGTGGAAGGTATGCACATTCTTTTGACTTGGAAATAGTATCTTGGTAGGTCTATGAGAGATTCTTGTATTTTCTCGACTTGGCTTGAAATCCTATCTGACATTTGAGCCAATAGAAACATTAGTGTCTTCGGCATCGTTTGAGAATGTTCTTGCTGCCTAGTGCAGATTGTTACCATTTTCGCAGATCTTTGGTCGGAGAGATCTAGATGGTGATCTTTTGTAGTGCTCCTGGTTTTTGTCTTTCTATGGCTTCCTACTTTTATATTGGTTTTATCGCTTTTTGACAAGCTTCTCGGGGTATTTTCTTTTTTTGGTTATTGTTTCATTTTTTATTCTATTGATTATATTTATATTTCTTGTGTCGCTTCTAAGTATTTTGTGTTGTACTCTAGACGTTTAGTGCTTCATTATTTTATATATACTTTTATTTTATTTAAAAAAAATATCTTTTAAATATTAATAAATATATTTTAGATTTTATAGTTTTTTATGATAGTATATTTTTCAAAAACATTTAAAAAAATTATCACAACATATTTTATTTATTTATTTCATATTTTTTTTAATTAAAATTGAGTCTAGAAGGGGTAATACGCAAAGGTTAATAAAAAAAGTATAGCCAAAATTATGGTTGTCATTTTGCTACTATTCAAGAATGTCTTACGTATTTAAATGAATAATTTATGGCAAAGTTTAATTCATCCCTACTTTTTATTTATATTTCGAAAGAGTTTCAGTTACATTCAATTTTAAGTTTGAATCTTTTCATTCTTTGAATTTTTATTAGTTTTCTAGAATTTCATTTATTTAATATAATAAGAATTTTAAAAAAATATATTATAAGATAGGTGGAATTTAACCATTGCCAATGACATAATATACTAGTATAAATAAATTGTCTCATAAATTAACAACTTAAAAAAAGTATTAGTATATAAAAATATTAGAACATATTATTTAGTCATATTATATTACTTTTATAAAATTATATTAAAATTAAAAATATAAAATAAAATAAATGTGGGTTTCTCTTTAAATAATGTCGTAATAAAATTGCACTAATATTTTATAAACAAATATAAGTAAAAATTATCATATTTATATTGCTTACCTTAATTTTCATCATTTAAAAATTCATATTTTTCAACCATTGTCTAGCCACAATAAAATCCTCTATAATCTATTATATATTCAAGACTGTTTTTAAGACGTGCAAAACAAATTATTGCATATAATAATTTTTTTAATCAATTTTTATTAAAATATAATATTTTTATTAAAATATAATATTTTTATTAAACAGAAATATTAAAATATTTATTTTTATATTCTTATTTATCAATTTTTTCCATACATCCCCTTACACCATCACCTTTTTATCTTCTTTTATTATTTCCAAAATAAAACGTCATTAAAATAAATAAACATAAATAATTATAAATAAAAATTTGAATTGTGCACATCACGCTACTCTACTTTTACTCATTTCCCCCCAAAATACTGAAATAATTTATAACCCTAGATCATTTTCATTATATATATGTTTCCTTCATTTTTCATTAGCCACACTAAGTGAGAGTAAATACCTTCAATTAAATTCATATCTTCTATTTACAATATTTTTCATACAAATCTAAAAGAATAATTTTACTCAGAAAAATTTCTTAGCCAATGTCTATCTAAACTATATTGCAACTACTTTTATAGTCAATTTTATTGGTAAGATCTTATCTTTTATCTATGATATTTTGTATACTTTATCTTTGTAATAAAATCCTGTATAGTGTAATAATTTATTAAAAAATTTCATTGATTGATTAGATAATTGATAGATTACATAATTGATACCTAATTTTACATCATCTAATTGTACAATTTTTTTAATTATTTTTAATAATTTTTTAACATACACATTTCTTCAAATCTAGATCGGATCTTTGTTAAATTTTCCTTATTGAATTTGAATTTATCATTGTGTTACATGTAGATATGATGGATTGATGTTGTGCCTAATTGAATGTCCAATAGTCTAAAGGTTGAAGTTTTTCCATAATTCATCTTAAAATTTTGATTCCTAAACATATTAAATTAGATTTATAAAGAAAAATAATTTATGTGATATAGATTAAAAAAAAATTCAATTAGGGTTTTTGATTGCGCTTTTATATCTATTTAATTATGTAGTTTTTTTTACATTATTTTTAATGACTATTTAGATATGCATACTTTTCATAAATCTATAGGTTGAATTTTTGTTAAAATTTTCATATTATAGATCTGATTAAAATTTCATTTCTGTCACAGGTTGAGCACAACGCAGCTTGGTTTTGTGCCGTATTGAATAACCAAAAACTTAAAGGTTGATTATTTTTCATAATTCTCTTATAGATTTTGATTTCTAATCAAATTAATTTTGATTTATAAAAAATAATAGAATTCAATTTGATATATAAGAAAAAAATAAAGGGAATTTAACTTGGGTTTTTAAGTGCGCTTTATTCAGCTGCAATGTTTTAGTTATAAAAAATGAATAATAATATATCTATCAAATTTTATATCTATAAAACTACACAATTTCTTTTAAATTATTTTAATAATTATTTAGATATCATATATTTTCTAATTTCATAATGGATACTCAATAAATTTTTCATATTATAGATCTGATTAAAATTTATAATTGTTTTACTGGTTGAGCACGACCTGAGTTGATTTTGTGTTGTATTGAATATTCTAAAATTTAAAGGTTGAATTTTTTTCATAATTCTCTTTTAAATTTTGATTCCTAACTAGATTATTTATTTATAAAAAATAAATAGGATTAAATTTTCGTTTTGATATAAGATATACTTATCTGCAGTGTTTTAGTTAATAAATATGATATTAGTCGAACACTTATCCAATTGTATATCATTTAACTACATTATATAGTTGTCAAAAAGTAGTATATAAGCTTATTAAAAAAAAGGTAGTATATATATATATATATATATATATATATATATATATATATATATATATATATATATATATATATATATATATATATATATATATATATATATATATATATATATATATATATATATATATATATATATATTTCTCTTCTTTTTGACCATTATACAATGTTTTATGGTCCATTATATTCATTGAACAACAATATTAAAAACTTAATAATATATAATATACTATTATAGAATTCTCAACTACACTCATTCTCCACACCATTCACATTTCCATAAATAATTTTTACCATAAATAAAATCCCCTTAAAAAATAAAATAAAATTTTTAATTTAGTAAAAGACTACTAGAACCTTAAATTTTATCTCACACAACATTTTTCTTACAAATTTAATTGAATATTTTACACAACATTTTTCATCAACTTTACATGTTTTTATATATTCTTTGCAGCTTCCACTAGAAACTATATTATCTAACTTTTTTCATGCAATGATCTATTTAGCTTTGAGAAGTAATGGTAATGATTACATGTTATTAGGAACCTGGTTGTTCTAACTTGTACAAACATGGATGAGCTTGTCTGTATTGAAAATCGCCAACCTGATATTTTACTATGGGACAACGAACTCAATGGAAATCCATTAAGGATAATGAACGTGTCTCACTTGGAAGAGTTATCATTTTCGGAAGGGTTAGAGATTGATGAGCCTGTGGCCGTCTGGTTCAAGGTACATATATATTTATGTGTCTGTTAAAATTTAACTGTTAACTTTATGTTCATGCCTTTGTTTAATTTTGAGTCTGGTTACATTAGTTTATTTGAATTTTTATGTATGATAATTTTGTATTTCTTTGTCTTTGTAGTGGAAAGGGAAGTGGCATGCAGGAATAAAATGTGCAACAGATGATTTGCCAATGTCCACTCAGAAAGACAAACCAGTTCATGATAATCAGAACAAATATTTGATCGTATTTTCTCCGGATACTAAGAATTATTCTTGGGTTAAAATGCTTTTTGTTCAATCAATTCATGAATTTCCTCAGCCTATAGCATATGAAACTCATCAAGATGGATTGAAAATTGTACAAGACTTGACTATTGCTCGACGGTTTACAATGCAAAACCTCGTTATCGAAATGATCAATATTGTTGAACATATTCACTCTCATGTATGTTCTTCCTGGTCATAATATATTCTTCTGATTAATTTGAATTATTTTTTTGCTTAATTTTTTTATATTGCATACAGGCTTTAATAGAAGATGCTCGCGATGTGAGGTTTTGGAAACAATTTGCTATGGAAGCTTCTCACTGTAAAAGGTATTCAGATCTTGGAAGAATGGTTAAGCGAGTGCAAAAGGTGAATTCAAATTCCTAAGCTTTTATTTTACTAGTAATTTAAAATTTTCACAACTACTTAGTAACGATGTTGTATATATTTTTTAATTTATAGAGCATTCTGCAACATTATATAATGGCTGATTGGAAACTGCATTGTTCTAAGTCTTGGGTTGATCGATGCGAAAAGGCAAAAAATGCAGAAACAATTGAGCTGCTAAATGAGGTATTTATAATTTTGATATCAAATATTTCTTCCAATATAATTGTTGGATAAATTTTTCTATTTTGTTGTTTAGGATTTGATTGATTCCATTTTGTGGAATGATGTCAGCACTCTCTGGAATAAAGCCCCAGAACCAAAATTAGGTTATGTTTGGAAAACACTTAAGCATGATGTAGTGAAATGGTTTTCAAGAAATCCTTGGATTTCTAGCAGCAACGGCTCGAAGACACATGCTTCAAGTTCTTATGGATTGTGCCAAAAAAGGTTTCAAGTTGGTTTCATAAGGCCTAAACTTCAAATTCGTCGTCAATGCGCACCTTCAACGCATAAAAGTACCGTGGAGGTGCCCGTGGAAACTGAGTTTCCTAGTCAGTTGATGAATGAATTGAGTGATATCGGAGTCGAGGCTGTAGATTCTGATGTCTTGCCCATCGCTGACATGGTATCAAGGCCTATGGAAGATGAAGAAAGGCCTACGGATGATGAAGAAAGGCCTATGGAAGATGAAGAAAGGCCTACGGATGATGAAGAAAGGCCTATGGAAGATGAAGAAAGGCCTACGGATGATGAAGAAAGGCCTATGGATGATGAAGAAAGGCCTACGGATGATGAAGAAAGGCCTATGGATGATGAAGAGGCTATTGAATTATTTGTAGAACCTGATAATACTAAGAGTCAGCAATGCGAAAAGTTTATCGAAGCCAAGGGAAGGCGATGTAGGGGACGAGCAATTGGTAGTGGTAAATATTGTTGTGCTCATTTCTCAAGAAAACCTGCAAAACAAGTTAACTCTCCTACTGCAATGTGTGGAGGTACAACTGCGGCTGGTACTAAATGCAGGCATCATTCACATCCTGGCTTTTCTTTCTGCAGAAAGCATTTGATCAATGTTAAGACAAACAATAGTTCAAATTCGAGACGTCGTAGATCGAAAAGGAAAGCAAAAGTAAACTACTGCGGTTCGACTTCGAAGAGAAGGGTTCGCGAATACTTAGGCGTGGCACCTCTGAAAAGTCCATTGGATATTGATCCGGTATCAATCATCGATGATGATGCTTTCATTGCAAGGAACATCTTAGGAGAAACACTCATGCTTTCTGGTAATGATCACAATGTGGCTCTTGAATGGATAGATTCTCCTCTTAATGGCAATGATACTGATAATGATAATTCAATCAAGTGTAAGGTATGTTTTGAAGAATTTTCTGATGACCAATCACTTTTTAACCATTGGATGGAAAATCATGAAAGGGAAGCATATTGGTTATTCATGAGTTATGCTTGTGCAATTTGTTTTGATTCCTTCACCAACAAGAAACTATTGGAATCACATGTTCAGAATAGACATCATGTGCAGTTCATTGAACACTGCTTGCTTTTGAAATGTAATGCTTGTAGTGGTAACTTTGGAATTATGGATGAATTCTGGTTGCATGTTAAGTCAGTTCACTCTTCAGAATTCAAGGTATCAAAAGCTTCTCCGGAAATGATTGAGCACAGAAATGAAGCTTCTTTGGAAGAACCTCAGCCTAACAATCTCAATACCTTATCGATTGCTTCCACAACTTCCCGTGAAGTTAATCTTGAGACGTTGTTGATGGAGAAATATGGACATTTACCAGAAAGACTTAATTTGAATGCATCAGAAGATTGCAGTGAGAGAGAAGTTATTGAGAATTCGCATCGCAATGAGATTCACCCTGTCGTTAGTCCACACTCATTGCAAAAGGCTATAATTTTATGTGATGACATAAGCTTTGGGAAGGAATCAACTCCAGTGATCTGTGTATTGGATCAAGAAATGCTCAATTCTCTTTTTGAAAAAGAGCGATACCGATACATAAATCTTCCTAGTCCTTGGGAATGTTTTGCATATGTGACAAAACAAATGCTTGATCGATTTCCTAGTCATAATCACGAGGTATTTAACTTTTACTCAATGTTCCTTTGTTCAATAACAAACTCGAAAAACTTCATATTTAACTGAATTTTTTTATTAGGAGAGCCTACAACTGAGATGTTATTGTTCCACTTCAACATGTTGTCGTAAAACGTGTGATCATATATACCTTTTCGATAATGCAAAAGATGTATTCGGGAAACCAATGAGCGGAAAGTTCCCATACAATAAAAATGGTCGACTCATGTTGAAGGTAAAATAATTTAATTAATTGTAACCTAGCCACCATTGTAATAAAAAATTGAGCTGTTATGAATTTCTCTACAAAACTACAGGAAGGTTATTCGGTGTACGAGTGTAACGATATGTGCAGATGTAGTAAAACCTGTCAGAACAGAATATTGCAGAAGGGAATTCAAGTTAAATTGGAAGTCTTTAAAACAAAGGAAATGGTTGCCACTGTTCTTCTTTTGATAAAATTTTCAAAATCACTCAAGACACTTATTATGCTAACAATCATTTTTTGATTATTAGGGATGGGGAGTAAGGGCTGGCGAGGACATTTTTCGCGGAACATTCGTGTGTGAGTATATTGGAGAAGTTGTAGAAAAGAAGGAGGTACACAAAAGGCGAGAAAGGTTCGGAACATTTAGTTTCTTTCTTTTAGCATGTTTGTGTTTCTTCTTCGATATACTTACTAGGTTTGTGTATGTACCAGATACGGAAAAGAAAACTCTGAATATTTCTATGACATTGGTGCTCATGTTAATGACATGAGTGGATTTACAAAAGGACATGCCCGCGGATACGTTATTGATTCTACTAGTTATGGAAATGTCTCTAGATTCATTAATAATAGGTAAGCATAGATTTAATGCATATATTCGGTGTTTTATCGAAGAGAAAAAAATGAATGGTTTGATCTCTTACCGTTATTGCAGTTGCTCACCGAATCTTGCTAACTACCAAGTTTTTATAGAGAGCACGAATTGTGAGCATGCACATATTGGTCTTTATGCAAATAGAGATGTAAGTAACTCCACTGTAGTTAGAAATTACTGCTTGATTATGAATATTTGACATCAACATGGCTATGTTTCTTGATAACAGATTGCTTTGGGTGAGGAGTTGACATACAGTAATCACTATGCGTTTGTTGGTGGAGAAGGATATCCTTGTCTTTGTGGATCGTTAAAGTGCAGAAAGAGGATATGCTAAAAGCTCAACATTGTTTATGTTGTTGTAATAGCATTTTAAAATTATATATTTGTAGCAATGAATGATTTATGGTTGTATTTTAGACTTGATGTATCACTGATGCAGGAAAACCTTGTGAATATAGGTGTAGTTTGTCGGTTGTTTCTGGCATGCTTGATCAGAGTCAATTGATTGGAATCTTTGAGTAGGTATCTTGTGAGTTTGTGATGTGATGAATATTGTTGAACTTTATTTTCATTTATAGAATTTTTTATCTAGTTTTATATATTGATCTCCTATGATGAGACGAGAGGTCATTTGAAACCCTTATATATACACGTTGATGTTAATGGTAATAGGAAAGTGTAGATAGTGGTGTATTTGTGAATTTAGTTCTAGAATCATTGATGTTGAGGATCAACAAAACAAAGAAATATTTGGTTCCTCATAATAGTGTTATCATTGTTTTCAATGGAAAGACATCAAAATCAAAGGGTTTTATTGATTTGAACTTAATGTGGATGCAATACCAATAATTCTAACCGTGGAAAATCACTTCTAGGATCTAGAAAAGTTTTTTATTTTTTTATTTTTTATGTTGTGGTAACTGGTTACGCAAACGCGTTAGCTGATTACTTTACAATTGCGTTGAATTGTTTTCATTGTTTTAGTAGTAATCGGTTAACCATTTGTGTTAATCAATTACACGCATAAATTTTCAGTTTTTCTAGTTGATTAAGATTGTGTCTTAGGTTCCAATTGTTTGACAATGCTTTTATAAATGTCTGGGAGGCATCTCTTCTCATACTTAATGTTAATTTTGATTATCACCCTCAATTACTCTCTCTCTCTCTCTCTCTCTCTCTCTCTCTCTCTCTCTCTCTCTCTCTCTCTCTCTCTCTCTCTCTCTCTCTCTCTCTCTCTCTCTCTCTCTCTCTCTCTCTCTCTCTCTCTCTCTCTCTCTCTAATACACTTCTTCTCTCACTATCTTCTTCTCCACAAGCACTAAACCTCCATTGATTTATCAATTGTGTGATTGTATGTTCCAACATTTGACATCAAGAGCCTAGTTCTGATCCATAACCCGCTGACATGAATACTATGTCTCAAATGATAGAGTCTCCACAAACCTATCAACCCTTGATGCAATGAACTATGACAAATGGTGCAAGTAAATTAGAGTTTTGTTTGGCTACCAAGATGTTCTTGAAATGGTCAAGAATGGGGTGAATCCCCTTGTCGAAGGTACAATAGATGCATAAAAGGCTACACATAAGGAGAAACGAAAAAAAAATTACAAGGCGTTGTTTTTTATCTATTTATGTGTGGATGGTGACAACTTTGTAAAAATTGGCGATTGTGAATCGGCAAAGTAAGCGTGGTAGATATTGGAAAATGCTTATGCAGGGGCTAAAGGTGGTAAGGTTACAAACTCACAAATGGAAATTTGAATTGATTCAAATGGAAGAGAAGGAGAAAATTAATGATTACGTGATGCGAATTACGCGATTGGTGAATCAAATTAAGCCTTGTGGAGATGTTGTTTCTGAGCAGAATGTTGTGTTCAATATCTTACGTTCTTTGACGGCAATATTTGACAACATCGTAGTGGCGATTGAAGATTCGAAGGATCTTACGACATTGGGAAAAATGAGCTTCAAAACTCTCTCGAGGCTCATGCGGGAAGGATGAAAGAGAGGAGTAATGACAAGACAAAGACGGAGATCGCCTTGCAAGCACGATTTAATGAGAAGAACAAAAGGTCGAAAGTAAAATGACCCATGAAGAGTAAAGTGAATTTTCAGAATTTTGGCGGAAAAAATTCACAAAATTCAAAGAGTTCGACATGTCAAAGAGGTGAGAGTAGCTACAAAAATGGTGGTCAAGGCAACTATACCAAAAAGTTTGACAAGAGTAAGGTACAATGTTTTAATTATCAAAACTTGATCATTTCGCAAGAGATTGCAATGCGAAGCAAAGGGAACCTCAAGCTGATGAGGCTAAGGTTTCTAGACAAGAGGTGAATGATGAGAATACACTCTTAGTGATGATCACTCGAGGAGAATGGAGTAGTAGTAGGTTGTCTGTTAGCAACAACAACAGTTCCAGGAACACGGCAGAAACATTTGTGGAAGAAAATGTTATGATGGCTGTGAGATAAGGAGTCCAATGCAGCAAAGATTAATACTTGTATTCTAGTTGTTTCACGCATATGACAGGTAGAAAAGTTTGGTTTGTCAATCAGACCACAAAGAATAAAGTCAAATTCACATATGACACCACTTTAGCGACCGATGGGGTCGGCGATGCTTTGATCATGGGAAGGGATAATGGGTATTCCTTGATCAAAAATGTATTGTATATTTTTGAAATCAAATGAAACCTTCTAAGTATTGCCAAATTACTTGAGAAGGGATACAAGATTTGTTAGACGATAGGCTATGATCTAGAGTGAATTGATCGCAAATGAAAATTTCTTATTAAAATTCAGTTTTGATAAATATTTAACTATGGCGCACGAAAACAAACCTGGATCGACAATCGTTTATCATAAACTGTTATCGAAAAGATAGGATATGCGTTAAACCGATAGAACAAACACATAAGATGAGAAAAATAATCAATATATTTTCAGCGAAAACGTTTAAATAAAAATCACATAATAGTAATCGATTTCTAATAAAACTAATGGAATGCCCGTGCGTTCGTACGGGTACTGGTGTGTTACGCGTATTTGTTTTTAAAGTATAATAAGAATATAAAAAAGTTTTAAAAAAAAAATTGTTTACCAAAAGAGTTTATTTTTTTAAGAGAACTACACATTTTAATTTATATATGGATAATAAATATATTTTTCTATAAATAAAAATATTGGATGAACTATATATTTTGTAGTATGTAATATTCTTTTTTTCGAATTATTTATAAAAATATTTGAATAAAAAAACGTGTTCCCATTTACAAAAAAATAATTAAGATTCACTCATTAATTTAAAAACAGAATTTGCCATTAATAACATATATCAGCAAAATGATTATATCAATAATATATAGCTCATTTTTTCATGTATTATCTTAAACAATATTGTATTTTAAATTAAAAATAATTTTTAAAATAAAAATATTAATAACATAAATAATTAAAAAAATGAAACATTTTTCCCGTGTTTGGATTCATATATTATTTTAAATATATTTACTTTTATTTTCTTTAATTGTATAAAAAAATATATTAACCCGTGCGTTCACACGAATTTAAGTCTGGATTTCGCTGCGTTCTCCGAGTACTGATGTGTTATGCGCATTTATTTCTAAAATGTAATAAGAATTAAAAAACCAAGAAAGCTTATCATATTTTCATGAAAAACATATTTTTATTCATATTTGGAGCATAAATATAGTTTTTTGATGCGCAACAATATATTTTTTCATACTTTTTCGTATGTAAATATTAGTTCTATTTTGACATTATTTATAAATATATTTATGTAATCATTTAGTTTTTTAAATATCAACTAATAACATAGTAATTTAAATATTATTTTAATTGTATAAATAAATATTAGTAACATAATAAACACATTTTACACGTGTTTAGATTCATATATTATTTTAAATATATTTTCTTTTAGTTTATTTAATTGTATAAAAAATGTAATAAATCGTGCGTTCACACGAATTCTGTTCTAGATACTAAAATGTAATAATATGTGCATTCTAAAAATGCAATTCATTTTAAAATAAATTAAAAAAATCAATTATATTTAAAAGAAACTAAACATCAAAATCTATTTGACATTTCTAAACATAAAGAGACTTTATTTATGAACAAACTTAAAATGGAGTGAAACAACGAGCACTTTCAGTTCCACTATCTTGTATAATTTTCTTTCCTTTTATTTACAATCTAGTAATCAACATTATTTAGACAATTTCCTCTCACTCGATTTGCTATCAAATCATTTAAGTTTCAATTAAGCAGCGTAAGATGGTTAAGCAACAAAGAAAAATAAAATAGAAAAAAGAATTTCAAACATGTATACAAAGTCGTCTGTGCGAGTGCGGATAATGAAAAGTCTTCCATTAAAGTTTAAGCAGTCAATATTCTATTGAAAGTAAGGTGTTCCAATAAAATCAAGAATCACAACAACACCTGCAACCACATAATGGTGTAATATTACCTCATCTAGTATAAGATTTGAAATTCTAAACACAGGGCTAGAAATGTTGACCTTTTGAGATGATTGGACCGACAATTTTTCACTTGTGTCATGGATCCCATGTCACAGAGACGGTACCATTCTGACCCACTGTGTACACTTGTAGTGGCATTAAAAACATGTCACAAGATGCAATGGTGAGAAAATAGTGACATGATTTTAACGACACTGTAATGTCATGGGAATCACGTCACACACTACGCCATATAAGGGAATAGACAACGTTTTTTTTGTCATAGACATCACTTTAAAGTGTTGTTTATTCATACGCTACTGTAAGTAAAGACAATGTTTTTTGTCAATGTAAAAGTGCTGCTTAATGTAGCCTTTAGGCATCACTTTATTCAATAAGCGCTCTTTAAAGGCTCTTATATGCAGCACTTTTTACATCATAAGCGCTTTCTAAAGCATCCCTCTAGACAGCGCTTTTAAAAGCACCGTGTAATGTATATTTTTGTTCACTTTGTTTTCTTCTGTTTTAGGCAGCGCTTTCTTAAAAGCGCTCTCTAAAGTCCCTTTTAGGCAGCACTTTTTATTTTAGAAGCGCTTTCTAATGTACCCTTTTAGGGCAGCACTTTCTTTAAAAGTGTTTTTCTATTCTCCACTATAGAAAATGAGTCTAATCCATCAAAATCAACTTCCTTGAAGTTTAAGATTAGAAGGGTGGACACAAACCAAGAAAAAAGAGTGAGATTTTCAGAGGACTTGAACCTCCCTGCACCACCTGAAGTTGAAAGAAAAAAAGACTTTGGTCCTATTTGGTTCTCCTTGATCGCTTCTAAGGATCGGTATGACTAGTTT